TATGATAAGTGTAGTCCGTTTTGGAACCAAAATCTGGCCATAAGTTTATGCTACTTTGTCCTCCTATTAAACTGTTGTTGTCAATATGCTTGTTGCAGTGAAGTCATGAACTTTCCGATACTTCATAAAGATTGTTTTCATTTAAATTATATTCACTTATTTACTGCATAAGAAATTTAGGATTCCAAACAGGATTCCACCAAAATTGTTCTGTAAGCAAAACCTCAATGTAAATGTGCCAGATAACGGACTACTTGTTCTGGGTTAGGATATTTATAATTAACCGAATTTGCCTCACACCATTTTTTCCATGTATTATATTAATATGTTTATATGTGTTGATCGTATAGCCTCGCTAACTACTAATAATTTCTGTTCTTTATCCCTCCATTCTGTTAACATATCTTGCCACACAAAATCCGCCACGCTTCCAAGAGCAAGTCTTGAATCTGTGATGGGTGCATGCCTGTTATCGTGTTTACTAGAGTGTGGACTAGGTCTGGAATCCAATAAGGGAGGGTAAGAGCTTGGAGTTGAACATCTGCTTGCCAAAACATCTTGTTCTATTTCGTGGAAATTAATATGTATAGTCCGCTGGCTTGATTCAAGTGGTGTAGGACTCTGGAAATAAGATTGGGTGGTAGAAATAACCACGCTAGTTTGTAATGCCACTGGGGATAAAATACGTTGTGATGCATATGCATGCTTGTCCTGAATGTTCACTGAAACATATTTGGGAGGCACGTAAGCAGTACTCGATGCAAATAGTTCTATCTCCAGCGTGACTCATATTCGAAATATTTTTGGATGGTATCATTCAGGCCAAGCCATATTCGAATGTCCACTTCAACATTGAATCTGGCTGGAAAATACTGGGCCTAAAAGTTGAATTTGTCTAGAAGTGGAGTGGAAGTGGATGGATTGTTAGAAGGTCAGTTACATGAGCACTTGTATGTATCGGTATAGGTTTACCTAGAGCTTTATCTATATATAGCTATTCCATCTCGAATTGAACTGGTAGTAGAATCCTCACTTGGCGGTAAGGGTGGTCCTTTGATAACTGTCGACTGAAGTATTGCAATGTTTTGACAGTGAAGCCGACCTCTCCAGGTTAAGTAAGTGGCAAATTGAGTCTTCCCATTAAGATCTGATACTGTTTGAGGGACCACTTGCCTTTTAAGAGCTGTTGCTGAAGTGCATTGCGTAGCATTAAGCACTTTTTATCCGATGAGGACTTTGCATTTCATTTTGTGTACCATGTTATGTCGAGAAACTCGAGGCACTGTGTTGGTGTCGGCACAGACTTTTAGAAATTCGATCTTTATCGTTAATGATAAAGAAAAGAAAGAAAGAAAGAAAAGACTGTAGAAGCTGGCAGTTCGGCTCCACCTGTTCGAGTAGTCCGGACTTTAACATTTTTTTTATAGGATAAGGGTGACAAACGAGCACACAGTCCACCTGATGGTAAGTGGTTGCTGCGGCCCATTGACATCTATATCTATCTTCGATTACGAATCAAAATGCAGATGCGTTGTTACCCGTGAGGACTAAGATGTAATGCCTCATTTCCAGTAAAAAGGGTCTCCGGTTCTCTACACTCACCATACGAAACACACCAGCGTTAAGCTGCTATTTTACGCTGGTATTCCGTGAGAGCGTGGTCCTTCCCCGGTCGAGCCGATCCATTTGTGCTACAACCATAATATAGCTGCAGCATGGCTCTACCACGTATAACATGTTTTAAATTTGGCAAGTCATATTTAAATAATCTGAATCACAATTTGATTTGGAAATATTAGAGGCGGCTTGAGTTTGAGTGGGATGTACGAGCGGTTTAATAGTCTGCATATTTGTTTTGGCGCGCCCAAATTGCTTCAAACACTTGAAATTGATTCAGACAGCTGCCATGAAATTTCTAAGTATCATTTACGAAAATCATTTTTAAAAGAAGAATGCAATTGCGACTTGTTTCCTCTTTGTTTATTTTTTGCCCGATTTATCTCGATTCGTTTATTTAGATGGACAGGGTGCACGTTTTCCTCTTTTAGAGGAATTGCTTCGATGAAAAAATGTATCATCAACTTGTATACTCGTTGATGGCTTTTGATTTTCATTAAAAAATATTTTTGAGTACGAGGTATTGATATGGATGAAGTGATCAATTTATCTGCCCCTCCAATTTTATGAAGGTAGGATGGAATGGAATCTTCATTGAACAGAGTTTCTACGTTAGGAGTACTGCTTGAATCAAGATGGATTCCGCTTATTAATACATAACCAATAATAAGGACTTTTTTGATATCTTGGTAATTTTTGTTCATTGTCATCTCGTAAAAGTCTACACAGTTATTTGTCTATAGGCGGAAATTTGCCTTGATCGTCACGGTTGACAGGCGCATTGGCGTTCGCAGTATTAGACGTATCACAACTTGACGCTGCTCTCCAGCGTTAACGAGATTGTTATTCCATCATCTATCCCTAGGCATAAGATTTTTCTGACATTTCTCTTATACGCCTCTTCTGACACCATTATAGAAATGGATAAAATATTAATTAATAATTGCCACGAAATTAGCAATATCCAAGTAAACAGGATATGTCTAAGGTAAGGTGAAATGTTAACACACTCGGTGCTTTAAATAGTTTAATGAATCAAACATCGACATTTTTTCTCATTGGATATATTATATATATGATATACACATTTTTACAATAATTAGATATTTAGAGGAAATTAAAAAAATGCCATTATTAAAATAAATATTATAATAAGTTTAATTCCTTTTTTTGTACATTGTAATCTACACAAAAATAAAATAATGGTGTCTATTTAATGAAACTCAAGTGAAAAATGAACTGTAATGTAGAGGAAGTTGTCAATCAATGAGAGGTGTGTTGATCTGTCTAGGACTTCAATAGACTACTTGCTTATTCTAAACTTTACACTTAATATACGTGTGAGCAACACTACATCTCTTACCGGCAAAAAAAGTATATATTTTTGTATAATAAAAAGTTAATCTAAATAAAAAAAAATAACATTCTAATAACTTATATTATAACTTTCGTCTTGTTGTTCGTGTTTGGATTGTAGCCCTCACGCCAGTATAGAACTTTCAGTACACCTGATGATAAGATGCTTTTTTATATAGGATAAGGTGACAAACGAGCACATAGTCCACCTGATGGTAAGTGGTTGCTGTGGCCCATAGACATCTACATCTATCCTCGTTTGCGAATCAAAATGCAGATGCGTTGTCACCCGTGAGGACTAAGATGGAATGCCTTTTCCAGTAAAAAGGATCTCCGGTTCTCTACACTCACCATACGAAACACAGCAGTGTTAAGCTGATACTTTCTTTTTTTTACTTTAAAAAAATAACTTTACGTTGATGCGTTGTCACCTCTGAGAATAAGATGGAAATGCCTCACAGCCTGTAATTATACTAGCTTTATAACCTTCAAAACAAAAGGCAGCAGTGCAAGCTGCTATTTGGCAACATAACTAATTCTTTCTTTCCTAAGTAATAAGTCCTGTTTTGTAATTTCCTAAGTAATAGGTGGTTAACCTACCCAAACTGAAGCTCAAAAGAAAAGGTGTCCTACCACGTAGTTTTGTGTCTGTGTATTATTTTCGAATTTTCAATAATCTGTTATTATGTTTGTTTAGTTGATTTTAATATTAACGTTTTGTACGTGGTAGACTCACGCTGCAGGGTATTACGGGTGCAGATTGTAGGAGAAGAAGAATAAATAAAAAATTGGAAAAAACAATCCTTGCTCAAAACTGCTGCGTTTAATAGCAGAATAATGCAATTTACAAGGCCAACATGCCTTGTAGCTACGAGAACCGCAGATTACTTTTACTGTCATTGAGACATTCCTTTTAATAGTCAGGCGTAATAACGTATAACCGTTCAGATTCTTGTTGTAAGATAGATAGAGATATTCATGGGTCTCAGTATTTTACATTTACTACCAGGTGGACTGTGCACTCTTTGTCACCCTAACTTCTATTAAAAAATTAGTTTCTATCAGAAAAATGTTGTTGCCAATCCTGTTGCATTCCCATAATCGATTCTTAAGACACTCATGGGTTTATATAGGTAGTGGATTTTCTTACGTTATCACTACACAAAAAATTGGGACTAACATTGTAACACACACAAATAATAATTAGGAGCAACATTATTACAACACAAGTTAATGGGATAAAGATTAGTACAATACTAATAATTTAACCCGAGTATAATTCTATCGTCCTGTAAATGGCTCTTTGTTTGCGGGCACAATAGTAGTATTTTAGTCACATAAAATGTTGTCGTAGCCCTAAATTTAGTTTGTTCCTTTTCTTTTTTAACTAATAATATTCAAAACGTTCTGTTTCATTTAAAAACAATGTTTTTCTGTTTCATTTAAGACAAATTCTGTTTCATTTAAGGTATGAACATTCTTATTCTTATTAAAGCTATTTATGTTTTTATGTACATACATAACATTTTCATAAATATATTACGATGGCAAAGTTAATATGTTTATTTCTTTAAATTTTTCCATGAGGGACTCTTTACAATTAAGATTATAAATCGCCCGTACGGCTCTCTTTTGCAAAACAAATATAGCTTCAATATCAGTCGCATTACCCAATAGCAAAATTCCATAAGACATTATGAATGAAACTAACTAAAGTATGAAAGTAACTAAAATACGCTAACTTAACTGTCTCAACATCTGTGAGACTTCTAATCTTTCTTACAGCATATGCTGCAGAACTAAGTCTGCTTGCTAATTTGTCGTGAAGCGACAATTAACCCATATATGCCCCGTGATTCGAAAACGAAACAAGATTTTGTACTTTCGTAAATCCATTGGAAATCCTTTGCTAGCGCAGTAAAATGCAAAAAATTGCCATCTAGTGCAAGGCTACGGAACTACCTTTTGTTTGCAACGAAGCGTTTTGAGTAGCGTTGACACTTGATTTAAATAGTCAGTAGTGCAAGTTGTGTCCTGTTTTACGTCGCGCAAAAATCATGTCGTCTCCCAAAAAGAAGTAAGTACTTGTTCAATTGAGTGAAACTTTGTACTTTTCAAAATTTTGTAGTAATTTTAGGTAAATAAAATCTTATTCTTATTTTTAAAATAAGTAAATACTATTTAATAAATACCTATAACGTCATTATAACTTTCGTGTTTCGAAAACGATACGTTGGGCAAATATACAGGTGAGACTTTTACTAAATCTGTTTTTATGTTTTAGGTGGAATACGTGGTTAACTACAAATGAAATCGTTGATATTATCAATGATTTAGCTTCGGATGATGAAGCAACAGCAGCTGACATTTATATCGACCCTCCGGGTGATGGACTTGTGTCAGATTCGGACTCGGGGGACGAAAGAAACGTAAGTTTTGAAAATTTATCACGTGGTCAACTTTTGGCGCCTGCTGAACTGACACTACATGGAAAAAACGTCAGTGACGGCAGCGAGTCTGAAGAAGAAGCTTTAGGCCCAATTACGTCACGTACTGTGACTGACTCACAGTCTTTATCAAACCGTAGGCGGAGCCGGTCATTGATAGATAATCCTCTTTTTCCACCTCCACCGCCACCTCGATCGCCTAAGGTAGTCCGAAAATGGGTAAAACGAGACTTATCCCAACTTCATGATGAGTGGATTGCACCATTACCTAGATCAGTAATTACCTTATCCGAAGCTTCAGAACCAGTTGATTTGTTTGAATTGTTTTTTAGTCACGAAGTTATCATGCACATTGTTCGTCACTCTGTTATTTATGCAGTTCAAAAAGGAAACCCAGGGTTTACCCTTTCTGATAATGACATTTATTGTTTCATCGGCATTTTGATATTGACCGGATATTCTCCACTGCCGCGACGTCGGATGTATTGGGAAAGTAACGAAGACACACACAATATCTTAGTGGCGAAATCCATGCGAAGAAACCGATTCGAAGAAATTCTTCGGCATTTCCATGTGGTCGATAATATCAACCTTTGCCCTAATGACAAAATGGCTAAAGTCCGCCCACTTTTTGATTTACTCAATAAAAAGTTTCTGCAATATGCCGTAATCGAAAAGAACATCAGCATAGACGAGTCTATGATACCTTACTATGGTAGACACGGATGTAAGCAGCATATCAGAGGTAAGCCTATTAGATTTGGCTTCAAAACATGGATTGCAGCCTTGCCCTTAGGATATTGCTTATACGCCGACCCATATCAAGGCCGCTATGAAACTTTTAGTACCGGGTTAGGACAATATGTTGTGCAAAAATTGATGACCGAGATTCAGAATGTCTACAAAGAAACAAGATTCTCAGTTTTCTGCGACAACTTCTTCACAGGATTACCGTTGATAACAGCAATGAAAGAAAAAAATATTTTAGTGACAGGTACAGTACGTAGTAATCGCACTGACAAGTGTCCTTTGAAAGATGAAAAATTATGTAAGAAGGAACAGCGAGGTTACCATGACAGCCGGCTCGATCTAAACAGCGGCATCTGTGCAGTGCGCTGGAACGATAATAGTGTAGTCACTCTGTTATCCAGTGAATACGGCGTGGAGCCTATACAAACTGCAAGGAGATACTCAGCTGCTCAAAAGCAAAGAGTAAATGTACCACAACCCAACGTTGTGCACCAATACAATCGTTTTATGGGAGGGGTTGATCGGTTAGATGCAAACATTGGTACCTATCGAATAGCAATTAGGGGCAAAAAATGGTATATCCCGTTACTTTTCTGGTTGATAGACGTTGCGGTCAACAATGCTACCCTACTAGCTCGTAATTTCTCCAAAGATATAGATACGCTGGAATTTAGACGTAGCATTGCCAGAACCTTACTTCAAAAATATGGCAATGATAAGCAACATCCGGGACCTAGCAAACGGGTATCTACAAATGTACCTACATCAGTACGAAAGCATAACGCTGAGCACATGATCGGCAGGGCACCAAGTAGACTGCGATGTGCCTATTGCAAAAGCCTTACAGTCACTTTTTGTCAAAAATGTAAAGTAAATTTACATTCTAAATGTTTCTCTGTATTTCATTCTTAATTTCATATTGCAATTTAGTTTAAAATAGTAATAAGTAATAAATAATCTCATTATACATCTTTGTTTTAATTACCTATAACGAATGTAGGATATTTGCCCGTCGTTTCGTTTTCGAACACCCCTAAAATACCTACTTACTAAAAATATTTTTTACTAAAATTAGTCAATACTGATATAAGGACTTATCAGCATAAACATATCTTGAAATAATCAAAATCAGAATTCAAAAATAGTTCTGGGCATATATGGGTTAAGAACAAAAAGAACCTAACCTAAGAGCAACAAAACAACAAAAATACTACAAAAACAAATAATATATTTAAGATTTAAAAGATATTTACAACTTTATATAGTAAAATGGGGTATGAAGATAAGGATGGATGTCGTGATTTACAAAAAATTGTTTTTAAAAAAAAGGTAATAAAAAAAAAGGATTAGAGTCGAAGTTGAGTCTGAAGATCCAAAGTGTGCTCTCAGCGCCTGGAACGAGCACGCACAGCGTAGGTGAGAAGGCGTCTCTAGGCGACGACCTCAGGTGAATGCGGTGATTGCAGGATCCGGTGATTTCAGGCCAGACAGGGGCTTGCAGGATCCTCAGCGACTTCAGACAGCACAGAGGCCTGCAGGATCCGGTGACTGCAGGCGGGACAGTTGTTTGCAGGTTCCGGTGACTTCAGGCGGGACAGAGGTTTGCAGGTTCCGGCGACTCCAGGCAGAGCAGAGACTTGTAGGATCCCGGCGACTTCAGGCAGAGCAAAGGCTTGTAGGATCCCGGCAACTTCAGGCAGAGCACAGGCTCGTAGAGTCCAGTGGCTTCAGGCAGGACAGAGGCTTGCAGGATCCCGGGGCAGTGCGGCCCCGGGATAAGGCCTTTAGGAGATGCTTCGAACTCGAGAACTGAAGCGAGACTGAATTTCTTCACCGATTGTTCGGCTTTTATACCTTTCTAGAGAGAACGGAAAAATTATTTAAATTAAACGCAAATTTTTTGTAAATGGTCAAGAGGAAAGAGTATTTATGTAGAATTAGCGAAATAGAAACAACAGACCGGTAGCAAATTTGAATATAATTGTCATAGCGACCAAATAAACAACGATGTCAAAACATGTCAAATTTTGGTTTTAGGCTTGTAATAGAAAAACGGCAAGATTTAAGTGAAAAATGAGATATTATTGATATAGGAAAAAAGGTAGCACAACTGCACGCACAAAGCCCGAAATTGCAGATTTACGGAAAACTAAATAAAAGATCGAAAAAAGGTAGACTCCATTGACACCAATTTAAAAGTGCTGATAATGTGAAAATACGAAGTAGAAATGATTTGTTATTGTGTTCTTATGGTTTAAAATCGTTACAGGATCCTATGGAAATAAAGGTGATGTAAAATATCCAGTTTTGAGGTGAATGCAGAAAATCGAAACAGAATGGAAAAATGAATTTAAAATAATGTAAAATGATAAGTAAGTAGCATAACACTACAAATTTAGAATATGGGGGCCCCATTGTAGTTACGCTCCAATAGTAATACCAAGAAAGACAGTGGTATCTACAAGACTCAACTCCTCCCATTTAAGAGCACATTGGTTTTCAAATGTTTTGCATTAGGTATTGTAAATTTAATACATTTTGTCTTATTGACGTTTAAGAGCAAATTGTTGGCGTTAAACCAATGTTCTAATTTCGATAGAGCATTCGTCATAATCGTCATCGTCATAATTAATTGACTGCCGTTTGAGTTTGAAAATTAAAGAGGTATCGTCAGCAAATAATACTATATCGTGATTGTCCCCTACAAGATAAGATAAGTCGTTAATATAAATCAAGAACAAAAATGGGCCAAGAATCGAGCCCTGAGGAACGCCCATTGATACTACCGATCCGCAGGAGCCTTTACCATTGATTACGACTTTTTGAGTTCTGTTACTTAAATATGAAGTAATAAGTGTATGAAGTAATGTATGTCTCATGATGAATACAATCGACAGCCTTGAGCTTGACTGAGCAAGGTCAGAACAATAGTTTTTGAGTTATTCTTAATAACTCATATTGAAGTCGGCTGTACAAAATTTTTAATTTGATATTATATATGTTTATATTTGCCATATACAAGATGGTATATCACTATCACCAGAGCCCACGAGGTTTTTGTAGCCTTCATATAGTTGCCTTTTTTCATATCAACAGGACGAATTTAATTCACTGCTATCGCGTAGCGAAATGTGAAAATAAAAAACGCGATGAAATTTGTAAAATTAGTCTAATCGTTGTGTAATATTCTAGTGAACATAATCAGTGTTATTACAAAAATTAAGGCACGTATTGTAATTTATAGCAAAGTTAGTTGATAGAAAAGTTTAGTAAGAAATTTTCTCATGAAAAAAAAGTCCTTTAGCCGCAGTGCTGTGACATTCCAAACGTTTACGTTTGAGGAAATTTTAACATTTATTCCACGGGCCTTATTTTTAGAAACAGACTCTAGTTTAAACCTAAGACTAATTATGAACTACTTTTTGTAGCAAAATGTTCAAAATTTCTATCCTATTTAAATTTATTTAAAAATATAAAATTTCTCTAACAATGAAGTAATTACAGAAACACTGTGAATATTTCAATGAAATATTCACAACACGTTGAGTAAACTTCCAACAATCGGGTTAAATTGTAAACTTAGTTTGACATAATGGCAAAACTTTCTTTGTGATGGTATTTTCTTAGTAAAATTCGGATCATTGTCAGATATATTCTATCCTTTACATTTCCATATAAAACTAAAATTTTACCTAATTAGTGTAAACTTCTTCCCTTATTTTTCCACCCTTAGGGGTTACATTTTTAGAATGGGGTACCCTTAAGCTTAAAACATATAAAACAGAAGAATCGCTAAAATAAAAACATATTTTAACCTTTCAATAGACAAGATTGCTGGGTGTTACTTGCTATTTCTAAGACTTATTATCATTTTTAAGCGAATTCAAAAACTGAGAGATTTCTATATTGGACTCTAATATTTTATTTTATACTCTCATGATTATTCTGCCACAATTATTTTCATCACCATACATTAAAGTATGGGCACAACATTACACACTCTTATATGTGTATATTTTAACACATTGTGACTTTATGTTTTCTTATATTTACACGAATATTTGAGATTGAATAAAACTTAATAAATAATAATTTTACGGATTTTATGACGTATAATTTGACTTATTTTATTTATTTTTGATTCCCTGTTTCGGGTGTTTTACAGCACCCATGATTATGGGAGAGGACTGAGGTGTTTGCCGTCTCGATGACATAGATGATGTCACAGATGTCAGTTACCATCAGATTTTGAATATAAACTATTGTTCTGATCTACGCAAAATGAGCTTACAGTATCTTGATGTCTTACAGTGTTATTTTTGGGTTTGAAGATAATCTTAAAAAATAAATTTATTTAAAAAATATATTTGTTTTATAATTATCAGTGCTATATATCATAAAATTTGTTTTAGCTGGATACAGATTAACCCATTATGACCTGAATTATTTTAGGGGCTTAGAATAGTATATTTTTTGATATGTTGTTATTAAAGTTCCCGTAAGTTATTTTTGACCATTAAAAGTTACAGTGATTTATCAATTTTAGAAAAAACAATGGGTGCCGTACGGCACCGCTAGGCTTACCACTTCTAGGTCGATATGATGTTTTTTCAAATTACATGTGGCAATGTTTAATAATAAATATTTGCTGCGACGGCATTGACTGAACTTTTCTCGAGTCGATAATTTCAGGCAGTACACACTTTTAATAAAAATCTTGTAACTTGGGTGACATATCATGGCAAGTATTCAGACATTTTTATTTTCTAAATGAAGCTGTTCTTGGATTTTTTAAAACCAGTCATGATTTTGATTTAATGTTACACTTGAATCATTGAATTTATAACCTTTAACTTTTTATTTGGGCGAAAGGCCGTGTCAAAATCTATTTCGAAAGCTAAAATAGGACATTTAACGTCAATAAGACTGTCACTGTATAAACCATTAGGTGAAGCCCTCAAATAACAATGATCTAGGTCAATGAATAGACCACATTTTTCTATAATAATATTTTCTTGTTTGTTCAATTGTGCCAATGCTACAGACTCGTTGTTCCTACCATGTTTGATGGAAGAGACGTGATCTAAATTATGACTATATAAAATAGTTTTAAACCGATCGATCAAAAACTGCGGTCGTAGTTGACGATGCTCTAGCACGCAGGCAATCGACGTATACTACGAAACAATCGACGCATACTACGATACATATAGTATCGAAACGACGCAGCGCGCGAAATAAACTGACGCAGACCAACCTCGACAAGCGCTCGCGCGATAGTAAATCGCAGATGGCCGGCGCAGTGAAATATATGGTACTATAATATTATTTAATTAAGTAAAATATAATAGTAACAATTTAAAAAGTAAAAATAATACCATAGTTTAAGTAAATATTGATGATTATTTTGGTATACATTTTACGTCTAAATGATGTATAACATCTGATATATTGAGGCTTGTCTCAAAGCTTTTTCGGTCGTTTTTTGAATTATGTCGACTTTTTTTCCTAGCATAAAAGACATATAACGAAAATCTATTCTAAAATTATTAAAGTGTAGGATATTTGGGAGATAAAAATATTTTTTTTGATGATCGATATTCAATAAAATCTACAAATTAGATCTCCCAAATCATGTCTTCGAGAGATTTTGCCTAAACATGCATCGGGAGAATGATTATTACTGAATAAATAAATAAGTTATCTAAAATTCGCTATGATCTTATTTGAGAAGAGAAAACGTTCTATTTTACCAAGTAATTTTTATTTCAAGTAACGAACGGTGAACATACAATTTCAACGAGGAAACCTTGTAATTTCGCGTTTTTTTTTGTAATACGCCTCTTAACAAACATCATAAACGAACTCTCTGAAAAAAAGAAGGTGTCTTACGAAGTTAATGGCAAAAACTT